TTTAGGGGTGGGTGGGAAGAGAGGAGATCTGCACCGGGAGGGAGGGTTTAGGCCCTCCTGGGTGTTGGCCTCGACTGTGACACTTAACCTCTCCTGCCCATGTGCCCAACTCAAAAACCGCGTCGTCCTTCCCAACCAGTAGACCAACTCATCTCTCCTCAGCCCATGGGGATCCTACCTAAGCTTTAGCTTAGAGCCCCTGGAGACCCGAGTGATTCAACAGAGCCTTAGGGGACGGGCTCACACTTGCGCATCCAGAGGTTTCTTGCAGGGAGTGTGTGGCAGAGCCAGGAGGCAACAAGCGATGCCGGCCCCTACCCCCGGCCCCAGCCCTCCTTGGCAGAGCGCTGGGCAGCCAGCCGCACCAGGCCGCGGCCTTCTTGCCGCGTCCAGAGATCTCGTGTACAAATAGGAACGAACATAACCTCCCGCCTTGGCAGATTTGGGTCAGCAAATGGGCATGATGAGGCACAACTAATGTGCTTGGGAAAGCCTGTAGGTAAAGGTGGGCTATACTACAGGACACACCCCCACCTCCCAGTCCTCAGCTCATTAATATATATTTACTGGAGATACATGTTTACCTTCAAAAAACTGATTTTACTTGGTCAGGTCTCCTGTGGACTAGTCATTTCAGAAGCAGCACACAGCTACACTTGTGTCTCCAGGATCGGGGCCTTATTAAACCACATGGCTTGATATGCATATAAAGCATGCCTTGCAGGCCTGAAGGGTCTGGAGCTGGATTATTGTAGCTATGCCAACTGAAATTTCTTGTGACTCATGAACAGCCAGATAAGTAACAAGCAGACTGACTGTGGCTCAAAGAGCTAATGAAGCTCTGAACTGCAGGACTGTGTATCTATCGGCACTGAGCGGATTTCCACATGGAGCATTTAAAGGTGTATAGCATGAGCTATGAGATATGTTTGTACTTGGAGCCTAAGTACTTGGTCAGTTTATATAGGGACTAACCAATTAAGTAAAAAGAGCATGAAAAGACACAAACCGAAGAAGGTGACAGGACAGAAAATAATGTGTGACGGACTGCATGATCCCCACAGCAGGAACTCATTAAATGTGCGTAAATGGAAACTGACCCTTGGAGTTCAGGGTGCTGGAATAAAGAAGGTAGAAGAAAACAACATCCCAAACCTTTGCAATTCTTGCATTTGTCCTGTGGGAAAGCTTTAAACTTAGCACTGTGGCTTAATGCTCTCTCTTCAGCCCTGTTCTGGCTTTCAAAGAGATGCTGTCAGGCTAATCCTGTTATGCTTATCCTTAGCATATTAACCTGAAGGAGACACGGGAAACCAAGGCAGAGTGGGGTCCCTTTGCCTGTGTGCAGAGCTTTGTGGGACCATGGTTGCTTATCAGAGCAGCTGGGGTTTTTGCTTTTGCCCCTAGATCCGATTGTATACATAGCTGCACAGTTGCACGTGCCAGAATAAGGCTTCCCAGGCTATAAGAAGAGTACTTTCTTGTGATACGATTCGAAAATGCCCTACAGATGATATGCAAAAAGTCACCTGTCCACTAAAAGACTGCAGCCAATACAGCACAGGAACAAGCCCCCAGGCAGAGTCTATTTTGCATCCTCCCTTGTCTCATGCCATCTCAGGATATTCCCATTATTTGCTTTTTATTTATGCTGCAATTTCCAGCAGTCACTTGCAGAGGGTGGCTGCTCCCTGGGCTTCTGTTCAGAGGCAGACGAGATTCTGACAAAAACAAGGGGATGTAGTAAAATTAGGACTTTTGTGGAAAACCTGGTCTAGTTTGGATCTGGTATCAGACACATTTAAAAAATAACAAACTGCCTCTCTGGACTGTAAGCGTCTGAGTCTTCCAACAGGACACTTAAATATCGCACAGAGAGACAACAAAAGACCATCCAGTAATAAAACCCACCCTGGTGCTTACTGTTGTCCAAGCACAACCTGCTCAAACTCTGTGCCACTTTGTCGTGGTTGAAACAAAAGTCCACCCTGTTCCTGCTAAAAAAAGATGTTACAATGAGCTACTTGTGCTATCAATTTATAGCAGGGGAAATGAGTAATAATTTCTTTGGTCAAAGCTGTGGAGAGATTAGTTGTATAATGCATGAGCATCCAGCTGGACCCATGCCAGGGCACAAGGATTAAAAGCAACCCAATTCCTAACTCTAGTGAAAAGAATGCACAGGACATTATTAAAATAAATGTTTAGTTCTACAAATATAGGTACGAGGTGAGAATGTGCCCTCTCTGAAAGCACTACACTGCCCCCAGACTTTGGGGAAGCATCTCCCCTTTTTCTCCTTCCTGCTCTGGCTTGCCTAATCACCTGAACTCTGGCTGCTTGAAAGAGGTAAAAAAATAAGACCAGAGATTAATTGCTCCTGTTCTGCCTCCGAGACATGGGTTCCTGATAAACTCTCTCCCTACTTAGAAACCTCCTGTTTGTACCACCATTGGGGACAGGCTCCTCAGCACTTCCTGAGCAGTGAGAAGGGAAGGTCACACTGCAGTCAGTGGCTGAAGAAGGGAGGCTGAATCTCCTGCAGTGCCTGAAAAAAAAACTCTCAACACAACCATTTGTAAGACAGCATTCCTTTATTGCCTGTACTCTGCTTGCACACTAAGAAAACATACTTAAGGTTGTACATTTAAAAAACCCACATGGTAGTTCTTGCTGTTCACTGCAACATGACAGCACTGATAAAGGTAATACACAGACTGGCCTGTATTTGTGTGTCAGCTGTATTTCACACGCCTTTGTCTTTCATGTGCTCTGTACACAGTGTGGGAGGTCCGCATTCAGACCACATTAGCAGATCTCCTACTGTTCTCTTCCTTCTGCAGCAACTTCCCAAATCCTGCTGCTGCAGGTAAGTAAATGTTCACATTACTGATGTGCCCCAACCAAAGATGCCAGTTCTTAGTCAGCACCACTTCTTATTGACCTGCAACTGGAGCGTGATGCAGAGAATCATTGACAGCAGCTCCCCCAACTCAGGTAGTGGGTTTGACCTATTCAAAGGTCAGGCGATAAGGTGATAATGTCTGTGCTCTTTCATACCCACATTGACTAAAAAGCCAGAAAGCCACATCTGTGTTCAGATTACAGGTGCTTTCTGAAAACAGAGAGGATTTCCCTTCCCAAACATTGTTTCTTGCAACACAAGCAGTTCCACTGGCAGCACTGCTGGTGTTACTCTAGACTCCACACCAGCTGCCCTGGTTCCTTCTGGACCCCTTCTAACTTTCTGATTGCCAGTCTCTGGCAGGCATTACTGTGGTTAAACACAGCGTGAACCACAGCCAGCCAGCAGTAAGGACTGAGCAGGAGCTTATTACTTTTAGCTATTCCTTTTAGTCAGGAATCCTGTTCTTCTGGAGAAAAACTTCCTCTTTCCTATCAGGAGTAAAACGCACTGGGAGGAACCACGGAAATTCTTTGTAACACTGATGGGCTGTAGATGACTCAGAGCACTTTTCCTGCATGAGATATTCCCCAGAAATTTGTGCAATAAACAGACATTCAGAGTAATTGCCTTATCCCAAGAGAGGAAAGAGTGGATAAATATAGGCCTTCCCTATGCTGCAAGGCTGGGGGGACTGCTTCACAGCTGCAGTGTCACATCTTGCACCTAGAATGTCAAAGTCACATGCAGAAACAGACTCAAAGAAGAATGGGAACAGGGCATTACAGAAAAAGCTCACTTAGTCCCACAAGGCTTTAAGAGCAACTGAGCTACACAACAGAAAGCATCACACCCCATAGAACACCGAGGGCTTCATGCCCAGGCATGGCAACAGCTATGCCAAGAGGCATACTTTTGGGGCCAGTTCCTACCTTGGCCCGCGCCTCCCCTCACCCTGCTTTGCCCCACTCCTTAGTGACAAGGAGGCCCCTGCACAATAGCAACAACTTCAGTCCTGCTCTTTCTCAGGCCCTTCACCAGGAAAGTGAGGTTATTGCACGAGGCCAACAAAGAGAAAAAGCCTCACTAGGTACATTTCATGCAGGCAGCTGCCTTATGCTTCCAGACCAGGTACATTTGAAAACACTATGGTCAAGCTAGCAGGGTGGGATCTTTCAGTACTGCAGATAAGTCAGTTCCTAGTTGCTGGAGATTCTTCAGGAAAGGATAAGAGAATGGGAGGAAACAGGCAGCATTCAGCCTTAAAGCAGGCTATATATGGCCCCCCTGCTATGTACAGCACAGCTCCTGCAACGGGTTATGAATCAGCAGCATGTGCCAGCACCTGTGAGTCCCAGGGCAACTGCTCCGTGTTCTGTAAACAGTAAGAGGGACAGTGACAAGGTTCATTAGGGTAACAAAGTGAAGAAAGCCATCGGGATGACTCATTTTATCAGTTCATACTATATCCACATATGGAATCAGTTAACTACAATATTGGCAAGTTAAACCAAATTTCACAGTAAATGCACGGCCTGATCCAGATCTTACAGGAACCAATGGAGGTTTTCCTCCTTACCAGAGCGGGCTGGGCTCTGCTGTTACAGAACCAAGAGGAGATGCTGCTCTTTGAGATGGATGGATCACTACATAGAGCTAGCCCAAATTTAAAATAATTTATTTATCTCTCACACTAAAATTCTATTTAACACAGCACCTATAGTGTTCTCCACTCTCTGCTGCTAGGCCACTTCTTTGCTGGAAAGAAAAGGAACAAGACTTCATCCTTCTACAGGGAAGCGACTTTTCCAGACAGAAGGCCCAGTTTGTGCTATTAGCCAAGACCAGCCAAATTGCCCCAAAGAAGCAGAGGCCTCGAGAGACCAGGGCTGCATGCAGAGTTGGGAAATTGAACAGTGCAGATCATATGCATGTTTTGGCCTGATTTAGTGCCTTGAAATTCCCATATGGGGAAAAGCTGCAGCTTCCTCAAGTCTCTGCAGAGCCTATACCATCAGATTCAGCTTGCTCAAAAGGAATCCCAGCTTCATGAAACAGTGTTGGCACATGTCTCTTGCTGACACATTGATGTGCCTTATGTGCAGCACCCTTTCCTCCTGCTGACATCTTCCAGCTGCAGGGCATTCTCTCTCTGCCTGTCTTCTTGCGCTGTCAGCAACCTGGAACAAGCAGCACAGATCAAGAACACAACCCAGTTACTGAGATCTTCCTGCCAAGGCATTTGGCTCTGCCCTTTGCTCCCCATTAGCCAGAGACATTTAGGATTGTAAAAAGTGACTGGCCCAACAACCGGGCTTCTCTGGAAGCTGGGCTAGATAAACAACACACAGAAAATGAGCATGAATTTCCAGGGAACAGGGAAAGAAACTGGACACATACAAGAGGGGACAGCATGGCTTAGTAGTCAGTGCACCAGACCAGGGCATGAACAGTCTGTGCCTTATTCCCAAGCTCCCGCATTGATGGCAGAATCCCGGACTGTTTGCTTCGCCTGTCTGGGTCATCTCAGGTAGCAGCATGGTAATAAAGAACGCTGAAGGCACATGCTATGGGAGACGTGATTTACCTAGCTAGTAAGTAAATCATCCCAGTTAATGAACAGATAAGTCCTGCTGTGAATTTAACAGAGATAATGCAGCAGGAGGTGAAGGGATAGAAGAAAACAAAAGGATATTTTTCTTGCAAGCTATCAAAGACTTTTTTCAAAACGACTTGGTTTTTTAAAAACTAAAAATCTTAGAGCAAACTTCTTTCAGCCTTACAAAGTGTCTTATCTTCCTTTAAAAATAATGCCACCAAAACACCACATTCTGTGTAATGCTTAATAACATAAGGAAGAAAAAACCCTTAGAGATGCATGCAGACTTCAAACTGAAAATGCCAACTTAAAATCTGGGATAGTACACAAGGTTTTTGTGATGAAATATTCAAATTAAACTCCCAATCTTTCAACAGCCATCTCTGCCAGACAAAGCTTTGCATGCAATAACATCCAGTCCACACTTGGTACTCTCCAGGCACAGAAGACAAGGACCTGGAGTCAGGGGGAAGAGCACATTGCTCCAGGTCTTTTTTGTGACATGGCAGAAAGTCAGCCTCTGACAACCCCCTCTTCTTGCCCATTCCCCAGGAGAGCCCACACCAATCACCTACAGCTGGGGAAATGTCCCAGGATAACTGTTCCTGTTCACTGACCTGGCCATGTGCAGCATGGGCTCCATGATGTTATAGCCAGTCATCGCGCTGCACTCGTAGAAGACAGCCTCGTATTCCTGCCAGAGAGCACAGCAAGCACCCACGTTGGCTGCCAGCTCTCCCCCACCATTCACCCACACCCCTGGGAGCTGGCCCACCCTCACCGCCGGGAACTCTGCTGAGAGCAGTTGGGGCCAGGAGGGTGGCTGTTACCACCCTGCTCCCCAACCCAGGAAAAGGAGATGCTTTTTCAGCATTGGGGGCCCAGCCAGAGTGTCCAAAAGGGAACACAGGGGGAGTTATTTGGGAAGAGAAAACAGCTGCCCAGGGTACTTGGATTCTCTTACCTTTGTGTTGCAGAGTCCAGAAGATGGGGAACACCTCTGACACCCTGCCTCCCCCCACCCAGGGGCCAAGGTACCAGTGGGCATGCAGACACAGGGAGTGAGGAAGGAGGCAGGATGATTTTGCAGAGCATGCATTAGGGGAGTCCTCAAATGGGAAAACAGCCATGCATGCTCCCCTCAGAAAGACTGAGCATCGCTGCAAGGAGACATCCAGCCTCAAGAGAAATACGTGAGTGTGCCACAAGGGCCATTGTCTGCCACATGCTGGCCACCACCTCATCCTCCCTGGAACCAGAGGGACTTCGGTATATGTTTACGTTGGAGAAACAGGGGGTGGGAAGGGAGAGGGAAGGTACCATACTGGGAAAGGGCTCCAAGAAGAGCTTCCTGCCAGCCAGGCTGCCCTGCTCACAGCTGGAGGGAGGCTGCAGAGCAGGTCGAGCAGCAGACCACAGTGTCACACCTTCGCCAGCCTTTCCCCCTCCACCTTGGGCACATTCCAGGTCTCTCTCTGCACAGCATCCATTTTATTTCCAAGCAGAAAGACCACAGCTCCATCCTCGATACCTTCCTGCAAAAGAAACAGAATAAAGCACCCTAGAGACTCAGCTGAGGGAGGGAAGTATCTTGGAGCAGATCCTGTTCCAGCTCATGAAAACAAGACCTTCAGTGGCAGCAGGATCAGGCCCTTTAGCCATTCCTCAAATAGCCTCAAGGATTTGTGGAAGGAAGCTTAAACTATGGGAATGTATTTCAAATGTTTGGTATGTACGGCTGGGATGTGGAAAGAGGGGAGACAGGACGTGAGTTCCTCTCTGGGAAATAACAAGCCTAAAGAAAAGCAGTTTGCCCCATAGGCTGTTGGGAATTTGACTTCAGGCAGAGCTTATTACTTATTAAGTTCAATAATTTTTGTGTGGTACTGTTTGCCTGTGCTGTCCTAAATTCAGCTACCCCTTGCTGAAAATCCACTGGCCAAGCAAGCTAAGCAACTTTCAACTCTTGTATAGGGTATCTGTAGGAACTGTTTTCCTAGGCAATTCCTGGAGCCCATTACCTTTGGTAAAATTCCCTCTAGTTCCACTGGCTCACTAGAACATCACCAGAGTAAGGACTGCAGAACGGGGCTCAAAGTTATTTCCAAACTTGACTGCCCTGGATGGCTTGCAGTACCTTAAGAGCTTCAAAGCAAGATAAATACTAAGATGGGGAAAGGACGAGAGATTATTAAAAGTTACAGATTTCAGGTGCTTTGATTTTCTGCATGCTCAGTTTAACCTTCCTGAAAGGAGCGTGATTTTCAGAGGCTGGGTAGTTTTGAAAATCTTAACCTTTGATCTTTTAGAGTCTAAAGAAATAGCTAAGTCATTAGTTGGGTTTTTTTTCCCCCCAACAGGCCTGTGCAAGTTAATAATATTAGAAACCTCCAACCTACGCTTATTCATTTCACTTAGATCTTGGTTTTTGAGACACGGCACAATCAAAACAAACCCACCCTTGACAACTGCCCTTCAGCTCTGAGTCACCTACACACAACTTATTTAAATTATACAGACAGGTATTGTTGTCTCCATCCTGATTTCAGCTGGGATAGAGTTAATTTTCTTTCTAGTAGCTTGTACAGTGTTATGTTTTGGATTTAGTAGAAGAATGTTGGTAACACACTGGTGTTATCAGTTGTTGCCAAGTAATGTTTAGTGTAAAGTCAAGGATTTTTCAGCTTCTCATGCCGAGCCAGCAAGAAGGCTGGAGGGGCACAAGGAGTTGGGAGGGGACACAGCCAGGGCAGCTGACCCAAACTGGCCAAAGAAGTATTCCATACCATGTGACATCATGTCCAGTATATAAACTGGGGGGAGTTGGCCTGGGGGGATTGCTGCTTGGGAACTAACTGGGCATTGGGAACTAACTGGGCATTGGTCAGCGAGTGGTGAGCAATTGCATTGTGCATCACTTGTTTTGTATATTCCGATCCTTTTATTATTATTGTCATTTTATTATTGTTATGATTATCATTATTAGTCTCTTCCTTTTTTTTCTATTAAACTGTCTTTATCTCAACCCACGAGTTTTACCTTTTTTTTCCCTGCTTCTCTCACCCATCCCATTGGGTGCAGGGGTGTAGTGAGTGAGCGGCTGCATAGTGCTTAGTTACCAGCTGGGGTTAAACCACGACAGTATCCCCAAGCAGATAAAAGCCACAGATGAATGCTTTTACTGAGAGTTTGGAAATAAAAAGCAGGGGGGCAGACTACAGTATTAATACACAGTCACCAACTAAGGAAAAAAACCAAACTGTTAAAGTTGAAGCAAGTGAAAAAAAAAAAAGCTATTCCTAATATTTCAGTCTTATCTCAAAGCAGAGTCAGGATGTGACTGTGCAAAGCAGTGTACATGCATGCTGCAGGTCTGAGCCTAAATGCACCAGGGCTGCCGTCTCCCTTTCCTGTGCATAGGCTGGGCACCAGGAGATCTCCTTGCCTGAGCACAGGTGTGACGTGACCATGTTTAGGAGACGTTGCCAATGCACATGGGCTGCTTACAAACACACACTACTGTTTTGGCAGGTCTCACTACCTTCTGCCATAGAAACAGCTCTCCCTCATTTAATGGGCTATCGCTGACTTTGGTATCTTCGACAAGAAGTCCCTGGTCCCAAATTGACTACCACAGGCAGTACCCATAGCATCGGCTTTGATAAGCCATCTTCCCAAAGTCAGTAGGACTTCCTGGGGCATCCGAGAATGTCGCTCCCAGACAGACTGTTGGAGCTGGTCTGGAGCAAGGCAGTGGCAGCACCAGTGTCAGAGCGCCGAGGCCCCGCTCTCACCTGGACGCTGCTCATCCAGTTCCGCACTGCCGTGAAGGAGCACTCGGCCGTAATGTCGTACATCACCAGAATCCCATCTGCCTTCCGGAAATACTGCTTGGTAATGCTCCGAAACCTGAGTCCAAATGAAACCAAAGGCACTCTCAAAACCATGGCTGTGTAATGACAAGAAACGGAATGGGATTATCTGTCTTTGAGCACAGGCTGTCTGCAAGGCCTGGCAGCCCCTGTGCGTGAGATGTGTCCCCTGGGGCTGGTGTGTACAGGCTGGTGACAGACAGGTCAGATCCTTGCACCTTTGAGGCAGGCCAGGCAGCCATGGGTAAGCAGGAATCTTTCCAAACGCATGGTGCTGAGAAAGCAGGAAGGAAGATGTTTGCAGGTCAGGAAGAAAGAAACAGAAGAATCTGTTTAGGTGTGACAGTGAGATAGGAAAAGGTAATTGCCTGTAAAAAAGGAAATGGGTGGAAAAAACCATGACCTTTCTCTGGAGTCTGGAAGAATCTGCAGACTAAGCTGTACCACAGTACAAACTAGGTGTGCATAATGTCTGCCCCAGTGCTACCAAAACAGCAATTAAGATCTCAGCATAAGTACAGTCTGTTTCCAGTTTTGAATCTATAAAGCAATGCCATCATTGCTTAGCAGTAGCAGTTAGACACAATTTTCAGGAGAAACTCCCACCAGACATCTACTTTGTCCTGTGGGTACCAGTTAGAACCACAGACTTGTATTTTGGGGATAAATTAAAACCAAACCAAAACAAAAACCAAAAACCAAACTGTAAAATCTGTAAGCAGTTTGTGACCGGGCCATGATACAACCACACTGATTGCAAACTGATGGAATTAAATGCAACACGAATACTGAGATCTCACTGGAGAGCTGTGTATTTCAGCCCTCCACAGGATAACAAGCTCTCCTATTCTATTAAAAGCCACGAAAACCCACAGCAAGTAGTGACCCTCCTGAACTCTTCAGATGATTGCCTGAAGCATGTTCTTTCTCACTGCAATAAGGGCATGACATTCTGGCAACTACCTAATTGAGAAAGCACAGACTTTATCCTTGGCAGTCAAGGTGCACCTCTGGAACTACAGCACAGGCTAGATGCTCTAGAAGAAACATCAAATGTAGCATGCACCGGTCTCAAGGAAGTTACCAAGGAGTTCTCCTTGCATGCTCCAAGGGGTTCCTCTATCTCTTCCATTGGATATTCACAGTTGGACACCTCCAGTTAGAAGTAATTAATATTTCTCTAGAAGTATGAAAAGTTTTTGCTTCTTCCCAGGTCTTCTATTCAGTATCAGCACTGAGCCAAGTTCTCTCTTGCAAGTCTAAGACCTGCTAATGCTGCAGGGGCCTACCCTAAAGGTCCTTCTGCAGAGACAATATCTTGAATTTAGGCTCTGGTGTAATCTGGCCTCAGTAAAATGCCACATTTCATGTCATAACAATTCCCCTTACTGCTCAGCTTCAGCACTGAAATAACCACAGGAGTTCTGTCAAAAATCATCATTTCTTCAGCATGAAGCCTGATTTTGGAAGAAATAGTTTGCTTTTCAATAGATATTCCTACATAGTACATTCCCACCAGGTCTGCACGGTCTAGCTGACTGAGGTAGACAGCATCATTACTCTGTTGGCACAGTTTAGGATTATAATATTCCCATGACCTCGACTGCCTCCTGAAGGCCTGGCCCCATAACATATTTAGCCCAAAATACCCAGTATTTATTTTTGCCAGGCTCTTGAGGTTAACAGCCCCCTTGAAATAGCTTTTCACCTTCAGCTTCAAAGTGCATCCTAAATAAAATCTAATTTACACAAAAGTAGTGGTGCGCCTTCACCTCTAGTAGCAGATGAGGGTTAAGTGTGTCCTCTACTACTCTGGTCCTCATCAACAGTGCTGGTAACATCTAGTGATGGCCCATGCTTTTGAAACTAGAGGCCTTCAAATGGAGAACCTATATTCACTGTCACAAAAAGCTACACTGCCCCTCTACCAAGGATTATCACTTCCATGAGTCTATCAGCAGAAGGAACAGTGGAAGGGGCCAATAACCTCACTGACAGAGTCTGGCAAGGTAGTTCAAATCACCTTCCCCACAGGTCAAGCTAATTCAGCTGACTTGGTCTGAATCAGATCTGGAAATGTTCACACACTCCTTTCCACCCTCTGAAGAGCAAGTAGTGGTGAGCAGCTGGGGACAGCAGTAGCACAACTGAATCCGAGAACAGGATATCTATCCAGAGCCTTCATTCCTGTCCTGATCTGGAGCCCTGTCCTGGAGCTTTTCCCAGAAGCAGGCTGATGCAGGAGAGCTTTGAGGGCTAGAGGAGCTTCGAACCCCACACCATACAGTGATTTATGGATAGACTACCTCAAGCCACAAGCTTGCAGGTCAGACATATGGAAAACTACTTTTCTGTCAGTCCTCAGAGCGATCTCCCTGGGCCCTGCTTCGCAGCCACAGCTTCTAGAAATCTCTGAAACAGAGCTTTGCTGCAGGTTCAGCACTGGAATAGCTGCTGTGACCTCTCTGGTCTTTCTGAAGCTAACAAATTTTCCCCAGAGACAGAAACCAGGTGCACACACTCTTTCCCTTTCCTCCTGCTTCCTACACTGAGCTTGGCAGTAGGGCATCCTCACAGAAACTGCTTACCTTTCTTGTCCAGCTGTATCCCACAGCTGTAAGGCAACCTGGGTGTTATCCACCATCAGACTCTTCACCTGGTAATCAATACCTGTCAGGAAGGTAACAATGATCGTAAGATAGGATGGGGAGAAAGCAGCTTGCTGTTGCAATGGCCAAGATCAACACTATTTAGTTCAGGAAAATTGCAAGATTGATTTGAAATTGGGAGAGAGACCATCTTTACCTTTAGTTGGGCTAAAATAGGGGCAAAAAGCAAGTGTGTAGGCTGACTTTCCCACTCCTCTTAGCCAGATGAGCCAGGAACCCTACTACTTACCGACAGTTGCATTGAGCTCAGCCAAGAACCTGTCGTAGCAGAAGCGGTGGATGAAGGAACTCTTCCCAACGCCAGAGTTCCCTACAAACACCACTTTAAAGATGCGGTCTGGGGAGCAGCTGGCTGGTTCCAGTACCTGGAGCTACAATGGAAGAAAGGGATGCAGTTTTGAAAAGCCCAGCTGCAGACTGTGCTTTGATTTAGGCATTGGACCCCTGCACTATAAACCTATGGAGCTGGGGTTAGATGGAAAGAGAGTCAGAAACCCTCAAGTCACTGGTAGCAGGTGTCTGAGGAAGAACCCCAAGTAATTAGACTCACCCTGGTTTCAGTGCCAACAGGCTGTCCTCTAGGAGGCAATGGAGCATCATCTAATCCATCTGCATTTTTTCTACAGTCAGCATCACCCTTCAAAGTCAGCTTCAACCACTCAGCATCTTCTGCCAATGACCATCTCTCCTTGTCTCTGCTCTTCTCTCTTAAGTTTGTGCCGCCTCCTTCTCCTGTCTTCAGCCATGTCCTGTTGCCTGGGAAGTATTTATAGTTCTTTCTGTTGGGTTCTTCCACTGCCACATCCACCAGGAAGGTGAAGGGAAGGTCCGCAGAGGCCAGTTGTCTGTATTAAATCCCACAGGCACCACAAATAGGGTGGGAGGGTAGGAGGTGAGGGGAAGAGGAGGAGGTTGCAAATTCCCAAAACAACCAATGCAATCCAATTAGTGCATATGCAGCACTTGCAGGAACTCTACTTCATACATACACTCCCCATACTCCCTGTGACTAAGGCATCGGCAGCACCCCTAGGGAAAGAGAGACCGCTCACCTAAGCTATGCTGTACTTATATGTGCCGACATGTATTTCATTAATTAAAAAAAATTCCCACCTTCTGGATTTTTCAAGGATTCTTTGCCTCCCACTTCCCCTAGTACTGAAAAATAAGGCAAAGCATACAAAAGTGGCAACAGGAAAAGCTTTTTTTAAAAACAAAACAAAACAAACCAAAAGAAGCAGCAACAAGCGCCCCTCTATTTTTGTTACCAAATACAACACACAGAAAAAAAGTAACAAAGGTTTCCAGGTCAGTGAAAAGGGCTTTGACTGCAGGCAGTAGGGCGAGGGCTGGCTGCTGGGCCCTGGGAGGCTGCATGCCGTGTGCGCGCCTGTTAGTGCCCTCTGCTGAAGGCTCACAGCCCTGCTCCAGGAAACCAGCACAGCACTTCCAAACACTGCTGTAGCAGTCTTACTGAGTTCAGGCAGCAGAAACCTGCCACAGGCGTGCAAATTGCAGTGAACGTGCTCACACAAGAGTCACTTTGCCTGGTGTTGGCTCTGCTCTGGCCTGCATCTACACCTGGCCCGAGGTAAGGGAGCCAGGACCCGAAAGACGTTTATTTTTTAAAGCTTCCAACCAGCCACACTACACTCTGAACGGCAAGAAATCCCCAGGACCCCTGCCCAAGCAGTGGTAGTGGGGAATAGGTGTTGCACTGACTGCCTACACAAGAGCAGGCTGACGCACTTTGTTCACTGGGGGTAGAGCTGATACAGCAAGTGGAGGAACGATGTTCAAAGGAACAGCTAGAATAACCGATTTAAACTACTGGAATCATTGCTGAGGGGCTAGGCAGCATCTTAGCTCTGCCTTGGCTTTCCATGGTTAAAGAACTAGATGAAGGGAATGAGAAGGCTTAGAACTCAACTGAAGGGCTTTATCCACCACAGGTATCTCCATTGCCTTCATTGGCCAACAGATTGCATTTGGAAGCAAATTACAGAGACCAGAGGCTTACTGCAGTCAACCTCTTCAGAAGGAGCACATCCCACCTCTCTCTGCAACATTTTCCTCTTGCTACTAGTGCAGGAATCAAGGCAACAACTCTCCTCTCTCACTCCTGCGAGTACAGCCCATCAGGACTGCAAAATTCACCTGCTGTCATGCCTACACTTTTTCCCTGAAAGGGAGCTCGTGTTCCTGGTTGTCTCCCCTGCATCTGCCCCAAATGCCAGCCCAGAACCAGGCCAGCTGGAACCTCTCCCCACTGAAAACAGACACATCCTCCCAGGCTCAGGCTCTGGGGAATGGCCCCCATCTCCCAGGGCTAGCAGGGGTTGCAACAATGAGGGGCTGAGTCTCAAAAGCTTCTTCGGGGGGACACACAAACACAAAACTTTCTGAACAGTGACTCCAGATCTAATGGACTTTATTCATGTTTCTCAAGCAATGTGGTGTGACACAGCACTGGGACAGAGATAGGACCAACAAATCCTTCTCCCCTTCTCACATCACCCTCACTGCCAGACTTCTCCACCTGTTAAGCCTTTCCAGTGGGTTTATGCCAGGAGCAGCTAGCAGAATCTTTGCAAGAAATAGCTGGGGAGGAGGATGGGAGAGCTTGGTTGTCTGATCCCATGGATAGCATGTCTGCCAGTCACACAGCCATTCTGCCTCAGACCTATCCAAGCAAACTCCCAGCCTGGGCTCTAGAATCAGCCCTGCTCCACAGTTCACCTGGTTTTCCATCAGTCCCCAAGCCCAGGAGCCTGAAGCTCAATTCTTAAATGCCACTACCAGAATTGCAAGAATTAAGGGCAAGTTGAAGCTGGAAGAAACTCTGAGCCTAGACCTATGTCTCTGGTTGGCACCAAGAGAAACTGGGAAGCAGGGGAACCTTCTGCAGAGACCTGGTAAAGAAACAGGGAAGCATGCCACCTTTAAAACTTGTTTGGGGCCAGCAGCTGCAGGGGAGATCCAGCTCCAAGCCAGGTCAGGGCTGGGCTGGTCTCCCCTGCCTCTCAGAGGAACTAGGGGTGCTGGTCACACAACTAGTTCGCAAGGGCTGATGCTTAATGCCAGCACAGTTCAGGCAAGCACGTGTACATGGATAGTGAAGCCACTGCACAGTCTGCATGTAGAGTGAAAAAAAGAAAAAAAAAAGGCCTTGGCCACGCAGACATCTTGGCCTACCCTGGCTGAAGGGGAGGCCTGGTGTGCCAGGTGAGCATCTGCGTAGGTGCAGAGGGAGATGGGCAGGATGAACCCACCTGGAGCTGGGCCCTCTGCTTGGGGCTTTCAGCTGCCAGAGAGAACACAAGCCTTATGCAATTCCTGCCCTCTCCCATGCCCCAGGGATATGGGCTCTGGCATAAGGCACCAGTGGACAGGATTTCTCCCCGAGAAGGAACTGGCACACTTGGGAGATGATCCAGTCATTTTTAAGGAGCTGCCTGACTGTCAGAGGCAGGCCTTTGGGATGCCCATCCCATGAACCCTCCCATAGCTTCTGATGGCATTTAGGTTTGCTCCCCCCCGCATTGCTGCATGTAGAAGCAGCCCAGAGGGGGACCACCCCCCTGTGGAAATCAGCTAACAGCATCCTCAGCTTCATACTGAGCCGATACCACCTGATGCCAAGAGGCAGCTAGAGCCACAGTCAAGCTGCACACTCCCCCCATGCTCCCACAACCAGCCAGCACCAAGGTGGGAGAACTAGACACAGGATGGAGCTTGACTGACAGGGTACTCCAGCAGGCACAGACGGACACCACAAGCACAACACAGACGCCCATCTAACCGTTTGACCGGCTTGTCGTCCAGCAGGTAACTGCCTAGCACTGAACCTTTCTTCAACAGGGGCTTTTTGCTCTGAGGCGCCTGGAAGTTGAAAAGAAAAGGGATGAAGAATGCATTTAGGACCCAGGAACCTCACCAGCCCCAGTTCAACCACTTGCCACCTCTGCAGACCACTTTGGGGAGGCAAGGCAAGGCTGGAGCCCTTGCAGCCCTGCACCATGCAGTGGTAGTTCCCCAGCAGCAGGCTTGAATAGAGGTGAGCACAGGGCTCGCTTTTCCCAGTTCAGCTCATGTCACTCATGCAAGAAGGCATCACTGTTGCTGCTTTCCCCTTTGCAACAAAATCCATCAAAAACAGTGGTGCCCCAAACTGAACCCTTCCTCTAGACAGCCAGAGCTTTTATTTCTGTGGCTTGTTCTCCACTTGGTCTCACAGCTGAATCTCTCTTTGCCCACCTGCCTTTTTATTATGCTGATGTTTTGTGGGACAGACCAATTGCCCCTTCCTTAGAAGGCACTAGTACCCCTCCTCTACTGGTACTCACCCAGAGCTGCACATGCACCATAGGAAAGGAAGACCACTGCACAAAGGACAATACACATGCTCTGCCTTACACGAACATCCCTCTCCATGCTTTCCTCCTACTTACGTCAGACTACACACTTCCTACAGCCAGTGTTGACCAGCTACCCAGAGAAGGAGAAAGCAGGACAACTCCTCTTGCAACCCTCTTCCCCCCATACATCTGATTTGTCATCCCCAGCAGAGTCAAATATGAGCAACTTGCGCAAGACCACATGGGAAATCCTGTGGCAGAGAGAGGACTGACCCGCCAGCTCCTCCAAATGCCATGCTAAAGCCTAGCTCCCCCTCACCCCCAAATGGACTGGCTAACTGCTATGGCTACACACACAAAACACAAAGGGAGAGACAGCATGGGAACGTACCCATCGCTTAGGTGCTGGGGGAAAGGGAGATGTACTCGTTCTGTAAGTCTGGAGATTTCTGCAACGTCCTCACAAGTTATTTCTGGGGGTAAAGGTGGGGAAAGAAGAGTTTGCAGCCTCCCCGATCTGCCTCTGGCAGCAGTTTTGAACTGACCAAACACCTGCAGGCAGCTCTGGACAGGCCTTCCTTCGTGTTCCCCACAGCCCAGAGGAGGACTACAAAGATTATTTCTTCAATAACCCCTGGCTTATTTTAAAAGTAAAAAAATTAAGAAGCTGCTCTGTTGACCAGAACTCCCAGGACACCTTTACCGTGATGCAGTCCTACAAAAGGAGATACTCTGGACTCCACAGAGGGCTTCACCCAACCAGGAACTTTGAGGGGGGGAAAAAAACAAACCCCAACATTTTTACATATAAAACAGGTGTTCAACAGAAGCTCCAGCCACAGAAACAATCCAGCACTGAGAGGCTCACAACTGTGGAGCACGTATCTTCCAAGGCAAAGGACCCCCAAGTGCATAGCGACCCTTCAGTCAACACTGATATCAGGCTGTAGTTCAGCCAGCCAGTGGTTCTCCAGCAGGGATGGAGGAGCAAGTTTTCAGGGTTTGAGCAGGTTCAGTCAAGGGCACTCTAGACACACAGAGACAAGGAGATTGTGTTACAGCCCACTGGAGCTGACTTGCAACCTTCAAGTCACCTGCAGAGCAAAGGGACACCCAGGCATTCTGCTCTGGCACTCCCCTACCTGGAGAGGAAACAGCCTGTGGAGTACGTACCTGGGTAAGAAAGGAGAAACAACGGGGCGTGTTTTGCCATTGGTTCTGCCATGCTTTATTGGCCTGCTAGGTTTGTGTAACATTTGGCTTTTCACCAGGGTGGTAAAGGGACAGACGTGACATCACAGCTGTACAATACACGATGGCAAGGATTCCACAACAACAGCACGTGTACAAGCATTCTGGATTGGAAAGATTCTGGTTTATCAGTGGAATAGGAAAAATTCTGGTTTATCAGTGAAATACAAATACGTGTCCAATGTAGTCAAAGTCCCAAAACACTCTTCATGATGACCAGACATGAAATTTGCTCTTGTCAACATACAGCATGCAAGCATAACTCCATAGCCAGATGGGTCACAGGTGTGAAACTGAACCTGCAACCCCTAGGTCTTAAAAGCACCTAGCAGTGATTTGCACACAGGCAGCAACAGCCACACATTGCTATCTGTGACCCAGCCACTGGGGCAAAACAGTGCCCCACAGTGCTGTGGGGCCAGGGTCTGCCTACCCTGGCAAGGCTGGAAACTCTTACGAAGAGCAAAGTATTAAGCTGGGCACTGAGAAGTGCAAAGGAGCAGTGGCTGGGTTGCTATCAGCCACATACAGCCCAGCTCCTCCTTCCAACCACTTCAAAATCTTTGCTATGAAAGAACCACTGTTCATCATACCTTCATTTCACAGAAATAACACAACTCTTCCCAGCACTAACAGAGGGTATTCAGGCCTTGGGTTTCTTTTTAGCCTGTAAAAACACTGACAGTCTCTGGCAGAGAGTGTGTCACACACTAGGGATTCCCATCAGAAGGCTGGACTCTCCTTTTTGCTGCTGCAGGGAACTATTGCTATATTCTCTCCCGCTTACAGTGGGACAGGCTGGACAGGAGATCTTCTGCAGGTGTATGATGATAGCAGCATCTCTGCAAGCCCTTGGAGCCCTGCTTTCCTGCACACTGAAACAAGAGTGGCCAACAAGATGTCCTGGCTGACAAAGTAAAAAACCTTCCTCCAATACAGGCTTCATCTGCCCAGCATGACACAGCCTTGCCAGATGAGCAATGGTGATAGAAGGATTTCACCCTGCTGCCCCATCCCTACTTCCAACACAGGGAGAAGACAGAAAGCGGCTCCTCTGTACTATGACTCTCTCTGCTAGGCTCTCTCTTAGGTTTACCTGCAACTGTCATGTTTCAGAGCAGCCCTGAGCAGGTCCTACTGGGGGAAAAGGAGAGGAGAATAGAGAAGCAGACAAGCTTTGCACACATAGAGGTACATACCTGAACTGTGGTCTCCACAAGCCACCCACCCCACCCACAGGAACCCAGAAGCTATGAAGCACTATGCATGAGAAGAGAACAAACCATTTTCTTTGGCTGCTTGCACTGGAATCTGCTACAGAGTGACTGTTTATTACTTCTCCAAGCTCTGGTGCACACACATATACTTGGCAGCTTTAAAAATTGAGGCAGGGGGGCTGGAATCTTCTTTCAGATTTCAGAAACACACACACAAAGGCACATGCACACACACCTTGCCTCCATCCAAAACAGTTACTGAAGTTATTTTATACAGCTGCTGCTGCACTTGGAGAAGAACTTCAGCCTCTCACCCAGCAGGGCATCTCATCCCCTATCTGGGCACAATCCCTGTGCTTCCTTCCACGCTCTCTTACACACCAGCCAGAAAGTCTCTCGCAGCCTACCACTGCCTGTCCTCACTGCAAGGCAGCTACTTACAGATGTTCAAGTGGGCCATGGTGGCAGAACAGGCAAAGACACGTGGTGGCATGGATGGGTCCAAGAAGAGCACAGAGCAGCCTTGCCAGTGACATTTGGGAACACAAAGACTTTTCCATGAAAAAATAGTAAGAATTAAAAAAAGATCACATATTCGTACTTATCTTGGAGACCAGGAAAAGCCAGAGATGGCGTTGACTGTTCCAGATGTCAGAGGCCCCCTGCTTTCTCCTAGCCCTCTGACACAAGGCTCACTGCTGCACCTCCACCCCAGCAGAGTTCACAGGAACGGGGAGCTGCCCCAGAGGAACATCTGAGAACATCTGCTACAAACTCAAGGGGTCAGAAAAACTCCAAAACCTTCCTGTGGCCCTCCAGCCCCAGTCAGCCAGCAGCACATCTGGGAATCCATCTTCTTCCTCACCACCCAGCTCCAGGGATGCATCCAGCTTCACTCCCCTCCTTGCATGTGCCCAGTGCCTGTCACGACACACAAACCCCACGTGTGCAGCAGGCAGCACCCACTGCAGCCATGCACGGGTCTGCGTGATTGTCACAAGCTAACGCGCCTTGGGTTAAACCCGGGCAGTTGGCAACAGCAACCAGCAGAGCTTGTCTCCAGCATGGGCAGAGAGATGCTGTGAAGTCTGTATTAAGCACCATGCCAGGCCTCATGAGCTCACGTCATTGTCACCCGTGGAAGTGACAGGCCCCCGAGTGGCGACAGCAACAGCAGCAGATGAAAGGAGGGTGGTTGGGAATTAGGATTTTCTTTCTTAGACTAACCAGCTTCTTGGCTTCACAAGCGTCTCGCTCATCTCGAAGTTTCTTGTTCATCTCTCTGCTCCAAAGGAAGACACAAGAGAGACACAATGAAGCACTTGTCAAAAATGAAGTAAAGACCAACATTTGAAATCTAGAACAGAAAGAGAGCTTGGGACACAGATAAAGATGTTATTTATTGTCAGACATGTTGGGACTTCCATGTATCCCAGCTCAGGTAATGGGCTCCACATGGTTCCCTTAGCCAGCAGGAAAGGCTAAATTCCTCCAGTGGAGGGATTACTTGCTGAAATAACACAGCCTGTACTCTGTACCAGAGCTGGCCAGATTGCAGAATTCTGTCTGGACCTAGAAAAACAAGCAGTGTCTGAGCACTGCTTCAATACACTCCCATAGCTTTCTGTGGGGAAAAAATGAGTACAGTGCTGAAACCTCAGCCCCTTACACGCACAAGAGCTCAGCATTTCCCCCCAGCCCTGTTCTTACCTGAGGAGCTCCAGCTGCCTAAGCAGACTTTGTTTCTCTTTCTGCATGTTCTTGGAGACTCTAAACACATCCCTGGGTGAAGGAGATTTTAAAAGGGGAAATAAGTTAATGGGAGAGGAAATACAAAGATCCCTTTCTCAGGGACACTCATGGTATTGCTCAAAGATAAGGGCCTGCCCTATGCTAGGAGGATTCGGAGGAAGCAGAACTGCTGCAGGATCTGGGATGGCTGGGTTGTACCCCAGCTCTCCTGTTCTCCTCCAGCGTGAGGGCAGGCTACCCCTTTTCTCCTTTCACATTCCAGTTTCCTCAGCTGCTAGAGGTGGGAAGGATGCTCAGTGCCATCTGGATCTGAAACATCCCAATGTTTAGCTACATATTATTAGATTAAGCCCAGAAACAGGAACACAAGTTATTAGAAGAGGATATGTAGGAACTTCATGGACGCAATGGTGAACTGGAAAATATATGTAGCAGAAGCCTTCTTTAGGCTGAGGAACATCTGCGGGTTTTTTTACACTGTTTTTCTAGCCAAATATCAATGAACATACTCATTTCCCACTAAGGCAGGTGGGAGGTAGCAGTATCACTCCCTGTTTAGGCCCATAAAACCACAGGGATGTTAATTCTTTTCCTCAAGAAGAGACAGGCAATCCCCTGATGAAACCAAGGCTTCTAATTAGAAATCCTTATTCTTTAACTACTTGCTACCCTTCGTTCTCTGCCTGGGTCCCTGCTCTGACACCCCCTTCCCTGTCCATTCCCACCTGTCCTTCTGCTCTTGCTCAAGCTGAGCCTCTTTCTGGAGCTTCTGTAATTGCCCCTTCACTGCTTCCAGCTCCCATTTGCTTTTCTCCAGCTCTTCCAGGAGGTTTTCATTCAGGTGCCGGAGCCTTTCATTCTGCACGCGGGTCTCCAGCTGCTCCGAGTTCAGCGCCTGTAGCTGATGTTCCAGCTGCAATGGGAGAAGAGGAGGGATTAAACATAGAGAGGAAGGGTTTTGTGCTACAATCATGCCTGTAAAAACAGGCTGAAAAAGCAGATGTAAACAACAAGGCAGAAAGGAGGTAAACACAACTTAGGTCTACAGGACCACCAGTGGCATTGAGAAGGTGAATTGGAAGCAATTATTTCTCCTCATGCCAGCACTGGGGAGCAAGCAATGCAATTAGTCAGGCATAGCTGAGGAAGTGCTTCAGGCAGCATGAGGAGCTTGCTGCTGTCAGGCATTGTAGAAATCAGTGTGCAAATGAGGGTCAAAGGAGGACTGGAAAAATTTGGGTGGAAGCAGGGGTGTGTCTGTCAGGACTTATTAAGCACAGTTTTTGAAATGCATCCTCTAGTTTGGGGGCTTTGTGAGCCCACGACAGCTGAAAGGGGGTATATCCAGGTGCTAGGGGTATCTCACACTACATCTGCAAAGTCAAGTGACTGGGTGGCCTTTACTACTGTTGGAGACAGGACCTCAGGCTAGAGATGTTGTTTAAAAGCCACTGGGGCACAGCTGCACTCTAGGCAGCACAAGACCCCAGCACAACTAAAAAGCCTGATTTGGGAAGTTCAAAGCCTGCTGTCATGTACTCAAGCAGTGATGCTATTCCTCACAAATGGCTGGCGTAGTCTGGGAGTCAAAGATAGATGCAGCAGTCAAACCCACCCATCTCTGAAGACAAGTAGAGCACTGCAAGAAGAATCGTACTGACACTTCAGTATCTAGCCAGTCATATCAGCTAACCAGGGCCCTCTGCTGAAGCTGGTGTTATGCAGAAATTGTGGCACCCATCTGAGAACTTACAGCCCCAAAATAAAATTATACAATCCATGCTCACAACCAGAGAGGAGTGGCAGGAACCAGTTCTGACCAGTGTAGGAGGTGGCAGAGTCAGCCTCCACATTTATACCTTCAGCTTGCCTTTTGTCTCAGCCTACCTTCTCTCCCTCTCAAAGGGAACGTAAAGCAGCACACTGTGGCAGAAGATAAAGTGTTTTTTTTTCTTGCTACCCTGCTCTCTGCCAGCACACGCCAGTACAACGCGTACAACAGCAGGGTGAACAGAGCTTTGAACAGGTTCTTTGAAACACAAGCCCCGCATCATTCCCCGCTGAGGCTACAAGCACAAGTCAGACCCAGCTTTGTCTGGAGACTTCCAGCCCTTTGTACATCAGGGAAAATTTGAGCATGACCATGTATGCTAGGCAGTGGAGTTGAGACTAAAAAACAGCAACCCCTGCCCACAGCCTTTGGATCTTTCAATAAGCCCAGGGATGGGCTTTAAGTAAAGCACACCTGCCCCTCCCTAAGAAATCTCTATCCCACACAACTCCCCCGTTTATGTTGTCTGTACTTGGAAGTGATACGGTAGAATAGTGCAATTACAATACTGGTCTTTTGCCACAAGAGGGACCCAATTATCCACATAGTTTAATACAAGCCTCAGAGTTAAGAGTATCAGAAATTACCATTCAAGTAAGAGTAAGTGTCCATGTAGCCCAGTACTCTGCCTTGACCCATAGGAAGAGGAGATGCTACCTAGGAGGAGCATGCCTGGACACCTAACTGTAGTCCATTCCCCTCATGCACACCCAGCATCTATGGTCCCTAGACTAGGGATGTTAGAGGTCACATCCTCGACTACTCCTTTTAATAAATATTTATGAGCCTGTTGTCCCTTTGTTTGTCCAATCTGTTTCTGAACTGCTGATACTGCCTGCCTCATATGGCAAAAAATCCAGCACTAATCTCTGTGTAAAGAAGTATGTTCTTCTTAATCAAATTCATACTGGTCTCACTGAGTGTCCCTCACCTCTGCTGTTGCAGGATTTAGGGATTAACAGTTCTATGTGGACTTTATCCACCACCTTCCTGAGTCTATAAAGCTCAGTTATATCTTCCCTCAGTCTCCTCCTCTCCAAAATCAAGTCTAAGCTTTCCTAGTTTCTCTTCTTAAGGCAGATATTCCATTTCCTTAATCATACTAGTTCTCTGTACCTTCTTACTCAAGAAGGACACAGTGGAGTTAGAGGAGACCAGAACTGCACACACTAATTGAGGCGCATCAAGGGCATGGGCAGCAGGAAAATTACATCCTCTATCTTATTCTCAGTATCCTTCCTGATGGCACCTAAGTTTTGCTGGCTTTTCCAGCTGCAGCACAATGAGCTGATGATTTCAGAGAAGTGCTGTTTCATCCACATCACAGCTAGGTACCCAACTTGGATACCCCCAGCAGCCAGCATCTTACAGGTACCTCCCATGACTTGTTTCTGTGGGGATCATGTCTCAGTTCTTCAGACAAAAAGGAAAAAGACACCCAGAATGGACCATCCCATACAAATGTCCATGCCAGGGACGGCAGGCTTCAGGAAAATTTCTGCTTTGATCTTTTCTGTAACTGATTAATCAGTATGTCATTAGGTGCTGAAATACAAATATACAGTACGGACCGCTCTAAGCATCACAGAATTGTTGACTCTCGGTTATTTTGGAACAGACAGAAAACACAAACTAGAGAAATTTGGCTCTTGTACATCCATACGCAGCTTTCTTACACACCACAAAAGGTTCCAAACTCACAACTTCCAAATTTTTACCCCATCTTCCTTGACAAATACCTATTGTACAACTGATAGGACGATTGCGCCAAGAGAAAACAAAGCCCATAAGAAAATGCATGGACAAAACATTCACAGGAAGACATTACAGTTGAAGACAAACCAATCACTTCAACACCTTCCAAGACAGGAGAGAACTAGTCTAGCTAGTCCCAGATTAGCTAGTACCAACCCTCAGCAGATGAAAACCATTCTCAGTCAGAAAAGGCCTTAGCAGAAAGACAGTAGAAGGGCAAGTGCTTCTTTAGAAAGGATTTGGGTCCTGTTACCTTCTTCTGGCAGCAGAGGATTTTCTCCAGCTCCTGCTCTTTGCTGTTTAGTTCCTTCTGGAGCAGGTTACTCCTGTCATGTCTCAGTGCTTCCTGCAGAGGTAAAGACACACAGCTGTGCATACAACACCCAGCATGGTAAGAGCTTTTTCCTTAGCCAGATGAGCCACCACCTCTCCTTCAGACCAGAGAAAGTTTGACTTCAGCCAAGAGAGATGAGGTACCTGGCAGATCAGCCTCTCTCTTTCTGCTTTGATCTGTTGCTCCATTTCTTCATAAAGACACCTCACTGCTTGGTCATGGTCTGTCTCCTTCCTACAAAAGGCAGGGTGCACACAGGTCAGGAGAGAGAAAGAATACAGAAAGGAAACAGGAAAGGAGGGTGGAAACAGATCCCCCTAAGAGCTGTGTGGCATTGAGTGGGATTTTAACCAGACCAAAACAAACCCATGGGGATCAGATCAAGATAAAGAGTCATTTTATTACAGCAAGAAAAATCTCTGTGCCCTGTAACTCTGTCTCTCCTTGCATTCGAGGCAGCATCCAAGCATCAGCGGGTTCCTGACAGCAAATGGCCACGATGTTCTCCTTACCGCTTCAATGCCTGTTCCATAGACTCCTTCTCATGATTCACCTCCCTTATGTACGATGAAACACGCAACAGAAACTCTTCGAAACTGGATAAGAGCTCTGGACGCTCCTTTCGTAGCCGAGCCCAGAGCTCCCGAATCTCGTGCGGACTGGAGCAAGCATACAAGAAACAAGGAAAGCAAATGAGTTTCTGTGTCATCTTATGGACTGTTATTCAAACTCCAACATGCACTTGGGACAGACAAACTGCACTTCTCTTGTGACGACCTCCATTACACCATCATAGCAAAGAGGGAAGTTGGACAGTGATGGAGCATGCATGTGGAGTGAGATCTACTGCGAGGTTAAAATAAAGGAAGTCATCTGAAAGAGAAAAGTCATCTAGGAAGCTAACCTGGAATGATTATTTTTTCAGGTATTCACCAGTAACGCATTTGGTGTCTAAACCAAGACTCAAAGAGATGAACACTCCGCAAATTTGCTGTGAGCTATGGTCAAGCAGCAAACTGTTATAGCCCAGGGATTTTAGCACATGTCACATAGGTGTTTTTCTCACACCAGGACTGTACTGGTGGATGCTACTGTCCTTCTTATTTATTTATTTTACAGGTTTGGAAACAGAGGCACACAAAAAAGCAGCAAATTTCCCCAGGTGTCACATCAGGATAATAATGTAAGAAGCCCTGGAAACCCAGTCTTCTTTTTCCGAACCTGCAATGATTTTGCAAACACTGTTTTGGCACTTAATTCATTGCAACTTGAACACAGCACTTATAAACTTACTCTTTCCCAAAGAGTCTTTAAACCTGCAGATATCAATTCTTTTTATGGAAGAGCTTTTTATTATTTTTTTTCTTTTTTTACATCCATGATGTACTTTGGAGGGACTGCCTTGAAATATACAGAATAATTATACCTATAGACATTATCCAAATATTTTTCTTTGTCAGTGTATTTGTCTCCCTTAATATTCTTTGTGAAAAAGCAAACAAAAAAACCCAACCAAAAAGCTTGATTACCCCTGCTACCATTGCACAATAGCTTCCTTTTTCTGTCCCAAGTTGAAAAAGTTATTAGCACTTCATCAAAACATTGTGTTTTAGATAAAAGAACATATTGAGTCCCGTTAATAAATAAACCCATTTCTTTCTAGCAAAAACAGTGAAGATAGTTCAGGTTCCTGCTCCAACCCCAATTAGCTTCTGTTTTATATTACTTCTTTACAACAGCTGGCTTGGCACAAAGGCATGACATGAAGTAGCTACTGAACTCATTGCATAAAACTGCAAGTTAGCGGTCAAAATAAAACACAGGATAATTCCACTTTAAGACCTGATGCTTCTCAAAGCAGAGTTATAAACAGCAGAGACTGTTTTTCCAGAACAGTAATATGGCCTTTCACAGTGTCAGCCCATTATTTGAGGCATAACAGCTTTCCAGAATTTTTCAGGACAGAATTTGTTTAGCATTAAAAGAAACATGCAGGTGCTTTGCATCACAATGCAAATGAGACAAAAAAATCTGTTTCATGACAGACGCAGCTCTGAAAGCAGCAAACTCCTTCACTGTAAGCTTCTGTCTCCAATCCTGTTTGCCTCCTGCCCCTACCTGGGCTGCTCCCTGCAAATTGGCAACACTGTTGGACTACAATGCCTGAAAAAAAGAGCTGCCACAGATGCAGTTGGGCACCCCAGCCCCAGCACATGTGCATCAGTAAGAACCTGCTATGCATAATGCTTCACTTGGGAAGGCCCTAAAAAATGACTGGATGACACTGGGGCCAGCAGACTCTACTGGGGCCACATGCAAGGGCATTAATATTAAGTTTCAAGCCTGTCCTGGTTTCAGCTGGGATAGAGTTAATTGTCTTCCTAGCAGCTGGTATGGTGCTATGTTTTGAATTCAGTATGAGAAGAATGTTGATAACGCTGATGTTTTCAGTTGTTGCTCGGTAGTGTTTAGACGGTAGTCAAGGATTTTTCAGCTTCTCATGCCCAGCCAGCAAGAAGGCTGGAGGGGCACAAGAAGTTGGCACAGGACACAGACAGGGCAGCTGATCCAAAGTGGCCAACAGGGTATTCCATACCATGTGACATCATGCCTAGTATAGGAACTGGGGGAAGCGGGGGTGGGGGGATCGAGGCTTGGAGACTAACTGGGCGTCGATTGGCAGGGGGGGAGCAATTCCACTGTGCATCATTTGTATATTCCAGTCCTTTTATTATTACTGCTGTCATTTTATTAGTGTTACCATTATCATTATTAGTTTCTTCTTTTCAGTTCTATTAAACCGTTCTTATCTCAACCCATGAGTTTTACTTCTTTTCCTGATTTTCTCCCCCATCCCACTGGGGGATGAGTGAGTGGCTGTGTGGTGCTTAGTTGCTGGCTGAGGTTAAACCATGACAAAGGCTCAGGTGCCCAGTTTAGCCCTTCACACTCTTCAAGATCAGCCCAGTCCCAAGCAGCCCCTTGAGCACAGATCTTTCACAGAGAGTCTTAGAACTAAGATTGTCTGAACATATGTGAACAGTCACACACCATTTTGGAACAGACTGTTACACTTTACAGCTGTGGTATGAACTCTAGTTTGGGAAACTCTTTGCAAAAAGCACTGTACTAAAAGTAATTTGTAACTGATGAGAAAACCCAGACTTCATTGCATTTGTTATCAGGCATATGAAAACCCAAGACAGCAGTACTGAAAGCCCAAGTAGTGTTTTCAGAGAGCAAACAGCTCAGTTCACCTCTTTGGTCTTTGTTGGTACTTTGAAGTTTTGGCATTGCAAGATCAAAACGGGGTAGAAATAATGCCATGAAACATCACTACTTACTCTTCAAACATTTGGGCTGCTCCAAGCTGCTCCATCATAGAACAGAATCGTTTCTCTTCATCATCATCTGTGGGGTCCAAGTCATCTGACCAGCCTGACTCAAAGGTCTCCTCGTGTCTGGAGTGATCCATTCTCCCAGCCCCTTGACACAATTCAATCCTTATTAACTTTCCTGGTGGAAGGAGAAGGGAAGAAGGAGAATAAAGAAAGTAAAATTGGATGTCATTTAATAAGCTATTTAAATGGCAGCCCAACAGACCTGCATGAGAAGCTGTCTGCACGCTGCTGTTGTAGAGTGCAGCTCCTGGTCAGTAAAGAGCCTCCGTTCTGACATCCTGAGTGATGTCATTGTCCAGTCTGCAATGCTGGGACTGAAACTAGCTCCCAGCCCAACAACAGGCTGTTAGGGCTCTGCTAACATCTGCGTGAAGATGATCTGCCACCCACGGCCTTGGATTCTCAGCATGTGAAGCATGCGGCATTAGGTCACTTTGCTCCCATGGAGCCGTGCTGTGGGTTCAGTTGCCAATGATCCCACAAGCTCCCTCTGGGACTGCAAGCTCGGCACTGAAAAGCACTATGCCTCAATTGCCCAGCTTGAAAAAAGCGAGGAGGAGATCATTACCCCTCCGTTCTCCTGTGCTACGTCTGTTCTGATTCAAGTCCTACAGGACAAGGACCACCTCTTGCTAGGATTGTGTAGAGTGCCTGAACAAAATGAACTTACCCTCTGAGCATGCCCTCCTGCCCCATCCCACGTACAGATGGCTCCCAGCTATCTGGATCCTGTTTCATGCTGAGACACTAATGCCATGAGAACTTCATGCTATGCAAGGCATGTGACAAATATTGGTCCTGGGAACAAATTCTTCTCAAAGAAACAAATCAAGCAATCCTATCCAAAATGCAGACCTACATCCTGTATACAGAGGTCAGACGTCATTCAGCAGCTACTCTTCCTTTCCAAAACATATCTGCTTGGTTCAAAAGGCAGAAATGACATCCCAAGCACAAGGCCAGGAGCCAAGGATGTTCAGAGCACAGATGAGAACATGAAGCTGCTCTAAGGGGAAAAATATCCACTATTTGTGTACCTCTAGTGACTTAACTCCACCACTTTTTAGCTCCATGTGTCCAGAATCTAGCCACTTCTCTCCCGCTCTTAAAATGTGCTGTAAAAAAAACCTGCAGCGTGGAGATACAGGCAGTGAGGCTCACACAGTTAATTAAGGAGACGGACTTAGGTTAGGCATTTTGGATGTCTGCTTTAAAGAAAGAGTCATTATGTCTCATTATTTCTCTTTTACAGATGGGAAAATTGAGGTAAAGAATGATTGTTTTGACATCCTAGAAGGATCTCAGATTGCTTTAAATTGAACAATTTAAATGTATGCTCTTTAATCAGTTGTGCAGATGCACCCTGTAACCTCTCAGAGGCCATGCAAAGAGCCCTCCCAAGAAGCAGACTTGATTGAAGCTTGAACCGCTTTGCTTGATTTCCACCCTGCACACTCCAGAAGGAAGACAGCAATTTGCCAGGCCAAACTCTTGAGTTAGGGGCAAAGTCTGAAAAAGATTTCAGTGAAGCCAGACACAAAGAACGACCATAAAGAAAAGAAATGCAGAATTAAGTGTTTTGCCTAGACTGGAGCAAGTCCCATGGAGCCAGGCTGCCAACACAGAGTGGTACCTGACAACTGGTGGCTGACACACAGAGAAATCTTGACTACCTCTACCAGCAATGACACTGAGGCAGGTACCCTCATGATGTCCATCTATGGCTATGGCTGGGACAAAGGCCTCAAACAATGAGATTTGGGAATAACCAAGTCATAACACAGAGGGCACTGTGGATGCCAGTGTCCAAGTGGTGCCCGTTCACCTTCTACACGGCGCTGGACAGGAAAGCCCATACTCCCAAGATGACTCTGGTTTCTGGCAAAGGCACCAGAACCAGCCAACAGGGATTGACCCCTGCAGGCATGGGCACAAGGCAGAAACAGGCATAATCAGCAGGCACTCAATGGGTTAAGGCATTCCCTGAACAGGCTGGCCCAAGACACAGCTTTCCATGTTTATTCCTAGGAAATCTTTACAGCTTCTCCCTTCAGGGGTGGCTGTTTCTGGCCATTCAAATCGAAGCACCAAAAAGGGCCACCCCCCCACCCACAAAAGTTATTAGTGCTATGGTCTTTCCTCCTCCTTAACATCCCTGTCACTGCTTGTGCTGCTGGATGATGACTCTGGTATAGGATTAGCATTCTCTAGTGTTTGGAAAAGACAACAGCAAGAGGAGAACAAAAGCTCATTTGCCAGTGTGCTAGCCTACTAACAGGACTCCTACTAACATCCTTGAACAGCACAGCTACTGGCTGGAGAGAGTTGCCAAGAGGCATATTTTTGTCCCCTCATGCAATGAGGGTCCTTATCCAGATGAACAACTGTGGATCACATAGCCTGATACAGGCTACAGTTATGTACCATCTCCACTAGGAGATGTTCAGAAGCTGGCTCTACCAAGTAGGCAGGTAACAGCTGTGGAAGAAGGCAACACAAAGCCTCAGGAAGGGTGATAGCAGTATTACACACACACCTTCTCCAGTGATACTCACGTAAGCATGGGGCATTACCCTGCATACCTGGTACAGCTTCAGCAGAACCACTGCACTTTCTTACCAACATAAAACATCATGTCACAGGTGGGCTTTTTCCTTCCTCTGCCTCTGTGCAGTTCTTACCTAGTCCCATGCTGAACTCCACAGGCGTCAGGTATCCATTATTGTTCTGTTCCAAGCTGTCAAAAACAGTCTCCAGCTGCTCAAGGGTTAGAGGGAGTTCGCTCTGGAGCCGCTGCAAAGACAAAAGAACAAACAAAATTAAGGCACGACTCAAGTCTTCCCTGTGACTAGCTCCTGTCCCTGCCATCCTCAGCTTTGGCCCACAGCGATGTGCCCTTTCACCACTGCATCCTGGCTGGGATGCAACAGTCTGCCAGTACAGCTGAGTGATGACACAAATACCCGTTTGGACTCACTGATACAGCGACACTTTCCATTACTGGGTGATTCAACCAGGACTGCAGAGAGGGAACTTCGGGTCATTTTGTTTGGCAGGAGCTCAACCTTCTTCCTCCCCCGCTTCAGAACCACTGCTTCTAGTTCACTGCCTGCCTCCCTCCACCCCTGCCCAAAGGTGGCTGCCCCCTGGGGCACTGCCAGCCTCCTGTGACCACTGCTGCTCCCAAGAGAGCTCTCTGTCAGCACACCAGGTACCAACTCCAGCTCTTTGGCCAGAGACAGAGGACAGACTTGTGGGTGTCTGGATTCAGTTCCCAGCTCTTGCAGGAAAACTTACAGATCATAAACAAAATGTTCAGTCCATAACAGAGAGCTAGCTTTCTTCTGTCATCTTCTGCCTGTTGAGACCGTATCATTATCCCCCCAACACAGATAAGGAGCAGAGAGATTTCCCTTCATAATACATGTGCAGAGCACCTAGTGTGAAATGGCACCCAAAGAAGCTTTCAAACAACAAGAGGTATAGGCTAAACCCTCATTACTGTCTGTTAAACGTGCAGCTTTAGATAAAAGCTTAATAAATATTTATTAATGTAACTATATAGAATTAGGCATCACACAACCCAAAACAAAGTGAGTCAATAATTAAACCAGCATGGACCTGCCAAGTGTTAATTATAGATGGAGGGAGAGATGGGACAGGAGAAAAACAATCCACATGTAACCTTCCTGATAAACCATTAAAACAAAACTCACAAAGAACTATAGATATTCTGTTAACAAATACTGTTTTTAACAGAAGCAGCAAACCACATTTTTCTAGAGCAAAGTTGTAATTCAGGCCTAAAGTGAGTTTTTGAGATCAAGCTATAGCTATGATGAAGACAAAAAAAAGTTATACAGCTTTTTTTGTTAAGAGGTTGGTGGATTTTTTTTGTTGTTGATTGTATGGTTTTTGGGGGGTGTTCTTCTTTTACTTTTTTTTTTTAATTAAACCAAAGATTTTTTTTTCCCCCCAGATTTCCCATCCACTGCATGCTTAATGTTTGTAGGAACTGTTGCAAACTTTTTGATTTTATGCATTCCTTAAAAATTTGGAATTGCAGGCTCACTTGTCCCAGGAATTCCCTTGAGGTCCAAGGCCCTCCTGGGATTTTCAGTTCCTAGCAGCTGGCTGTGGCAGAGTTTGGCTCCCAGATATCTGAATGAGATAGAGCCCATGTGTACACCCCACACGTGCCGAAAGTAAAGACATGCCATATTCTCCCCTCTTCTGCCACCCATGACTTTACAGCTCCTCCCAGAAAAGGGGAAGGCCTTTTTCCCTCACCTGCATGTCCACCTTGGTGATAAAACCCTTCTCGTCCTTGTCACACAGCTGGAAGAGCTCCCTTGCCTTCTCGAGCATCTCCACCTGCACATCTTCCAGTTTGCTCATTTGGTTGGAAGGAGAAGCACCAGGAGCCACCCCATCCTCCTCATCCCCTTCCGCTTCTCCTTCCCAGCGGACATACCCCAAGAGCGCTCCCCTCTGGTTCTCCATCTTCTCAAAGTCTTTTCCCCCAGGGCAGGGGCAAACAGAAGAGCTGCAGGGCAGGAAACAAAGAAACCCCAGTCAAACATGACCCTCCACTTCCACCCCACACATCTAGTTACATGCCTTGTTGGTTTGAAAGAACAAGATTCAGCATCCATATCTGGACTAGATGACCTTTAAAAGGTCCCTTCCAACCCAAACTATTCTATGATTCTATGATCTGTGACTGAGGAGTGCGGCGGAATGGAGGGAGTTTGTGTCAGAGGTACACACTGTGCACCAACATGGGTGCAACTAAGCCTACCACACAGCCATAACCCTCCACACTGTGATGGGCTCCAGACCCTGCACCGAGCAAGGATGCTCTTTCGCCATCTCTTCTCCTCTGGCTCAGACCTACAAGGCAGTCAGAGTTCTCTGCTGGTGAAAGCCAGGTGCCAACGGAAGGTTTCAGCAAAGATGAGAGGATGGGAAGGGAATATTAAAGCACGCAGGTAAATCTGCATAAGAGCACAGTGATAGTTCCACACTGGCTGAGACAGGGGGCTCGAACACTGCTAGCTGGGCCAGCTCCCAGGTCTCGCATAGCTCCCTGGATGCCCTGACCAGCATGCTTCTCTCTGGTCTTGGTTCCTCTGGTAATAACATGTGCTTTTCCTCCTTCTGTTGCTTTTCTGTGCCACCTTTGAACACCAAACCTGCATCGCAACTGCAAGAACCCAGAGCAGAATGAAGGCAGATAGGAGGAAAATCTGCACAAGTGACAGAGGAAAGAGAAGAAGGATTGTCTCTCCCAGCCCTCTCCTGTCCAGGTCCCTTGACTGGCCTTCCACCTCTGACATTTTCTTGTTAACGCTTCCCACATAGTAACTCCATCACCTTTCATGTTATTAGAGCACAAAGAAAGATCAGACAATTTCTACACTGGGAGAAATTTAATAACCTGGGCACTCCTTGCCTTCCAGCCTCTGTTTTGAGACCTCATAAGCTGCCAAACAGAATTTTAATCTGAAATGTTCACCTTTATAGGAAGGAAACCACATGACTATGGAGACATTTCAGAGGCCAAAGAAAATAATTCCCATTACTTACAAGAAGCTAAACCAAAAAGGCTAGGAATGAAAGCACCCCTTTAAGCACAGCACTGTGATTGTAAAGATGCATACAACACATCCCTACTCGAACCTACCCTCCGACTTAACTAATGCCATGTAACACCCTCCAACAGCTTTTCTTCAGCAACACCACCACATTTTAAACTTGTTGCACTGATTGCTTTAGACTTGCCTTTCTGCAGATACGCGTTCTGCATTGCAGGGCAGAAGTGAGCTGTGCAAGCAGGCTGAGAGCAGATTTTAACTGTGCTAGACAAAGAAGGCTTGAGGCTTGGGTTTTTTTTTTTTCAGTCTCCAAGAAATTAAAAGCCATGTACAGATGCTGTGATAACAAACAAGTTAATTCTGTTTGCACTCTTAGTACAACGGGAGGATAAAGAGCATGATGGCCAGGAAAAATGTCACATGCGAGAACTACATGAAGCTGACACAAACGGAGAAGGCAATTATGTACCACGCTATTTGACTCCGTTTATTACTGCTGATTCGTGAGCCAGAGGGTGGTTCTGCTTCAAAGAACAAGCAGAACACATTGCTCCCCCTTTCAAATCAGTGTTTTTTCAGGGCACCTCCGTTTAGTGTCACTTGAGAAGATATTTATTTGAAACTCTGCCGAAGACTACCTATAAATGGGTAGTATTATACATTTCTAGTCAAGTAGACACCCCTGGCAAGCAATGGACACAGAGCTGGACCCAAGCTTTTGGGAATACTGCAGAGGAAAGGAGGGAAAAAAGCATGAAAAGCGAGAAGGCAAGGCATGTCTTTCTCTCTTGCTCTTTTTCAAACAAACCCTCCTACCAAGCCTTTTTTTTTTTGTGTTATGGAGCCAACACAGCAAAATTTGGAGACTAAAGCTTGATTCTCTCCATTAGCTGGACAGTCAGCTTGCTTCTGATGGCAAGTCTGTACATGTTAATACAAAGAAGTCGGAAAGAACTCCAGCTTACTTTTCACATTCAAGTAAAAGTTGCAAATCTGGCCTTGGAAGAAAAGAAAAAAGACCCAAATATCCTATGCTGCATAGGTGATTACAGTGAGGAATCCCATAGCCACACTGATGAATGAATGATAATTATTGGCTGCTACAGGCCACCTTGCTGGAGCTTTTTGCCAGACCCATTCCTTCCACAAAGACACAGTCTCAGCACAAGCAGCACCCTGTACCAGAAGGTGAGCATAGGCGGCAGCAGGGGAGGAAACAGAACAGTTCAAAGCAAGAGCCACGACAGAATTGCAGAAAACAAGCAGAATAAGAAAAAGCACAAATAAGAAATACGTTTTCTGAAACATCCCTCTAGCTGCCTAAGAGACACCGAGGTCCCCAGAAGTAAAGAACCTGCTTACTTATCATCAGCTTCATCATTTCGATTTCAAAACCTGAGCAGCCCATGCAGACATCTTACCAGCCCTGCTGCAGCAAACAAAAGGTTGTATGAGGAGGATGTTCTGTTCTGTCTCTGAGACACGTTTGCAAGCTGAAATCGGACCCATTACATCCCTACTTCTAGCATGTCCTCATTTTATCAAAAGCCCAGCTGTACTGTAGCTCCCAAACGTTGGCTGAGCTAAAACCCTCTTAATGAGAAGAGCTGGGACCTGACATGGACAAGACTCTGAAAGGATTTCACTCGCATGCAAAAGATCAAGCCCATCAATTCAGTGTTTGGAGCACAGAGTCTCTTGTTCAAGCTGCTTCAAGCTAGATGTGGCGCTCTCAATGACGAGAGAGCATTTGCAGAGGAACAAAGTGGCAAATAAGAGAGCCCCAGCAGGTCTCATGGACTTCTCTCCCAGAGGCCTTTGACTGAGAAGCTCTTAGTCTCCATCCCCGTTTGTAAGAGCATTGCATAGTACAAATGTAGATGAGGCACAAAGCCGATCTCAGTTGAACAAGTGCCGTCATACCTTCCCCAGTTACAGATCATGACTGCAAACTACTGGGAAAGCAGCTTCATCAGCAAGATGCAGAACTCACTGAAGGACAACTTTGAATGAGGCTGAGGTCACTAGAGCACTAGAACTGTGGACTGATACCCAAAAGTTGAGGCCAGCAGAGCTGGCTTGGGTGCAGAAGGATTAACTTGGGAAGGGCTATGCTTGCCTGACACAAGTGGAGAAGGCAGAGATAGGTATGGGCACCTAATACTTTTGGTCAGGCAAACCTGCCAGGTTCTCTCAGCAAGATGTAGCTAAGCCACCTCCAGTGACAAAGCTTGGGGTTGTTACCAAAACTTCCTGACAGGATTAATTTTTCCAGGTCTCTTCTGGCAGGAGAAGCTAGTCATTGAGTCAGCACCAGTTAAGAATTAATTTGCACACCTAGCCTGGAGTCAGGACAATCTCTGTTTCTTGGGCTGTTGATTTCCATCATAAGAACATCCATAGTGGGTCATGGCAGAATTCATCTAGCCCAGCATCTTACCCTCAACAATGGCCATGAACGGCCTGTGAGGGAAGAGTAACAGCACGGCAAGCACAGAGAAGGCTTTGCTGAAGAGATCTGCCAGCTTCTAGCCACTGTCAGCCTAGGGCAATTCCTCAGCCACATGGTTCCTCCCTCATTTTCCAAGACACTTGACCAGCCTCCCTTTGAATCTGTATGAAAACATTCACTGTTCACATGAACGTGCTGATAGAAACGGAGTGCCTGCTGCAATCTGTGGGTGCTGACAAAGCTTCATGGGACTATTCCAGTTCTCTGGGTATACAGTTTGACCAGCACCTGTTCCACAAGAGATGGAGTCCCAGCTTCAGCTCAAACAAGTGTTTCCTGCCACCTTCACATCTGGGAACCGTGGCAAAGACCAAAAACCCCTCTCCCAGGCCCTGGGAGATCTACCAGCAAGATGGAAGTGCCAGGGACACAGGGGTACCAGTGGGCTCCAATTGCCCTGGCCAGCCTTGGTGTGTAATGGTTCTTCTGCAGCCCCTTCTTCCCCCACCCCAGGAGTCTGGCTGCCTATGCTCAAGGTCAGCTCTGATATTGCACAGTCCAGATTTGGGCAGTGTCCAACATCTGAACAACCTGATACAGAGCTCAAGAGAAAGCCAGTGTCGTGGTTTAACCCCAGCCAGCAACTAAGCACCACGCAGCTGCTCACTCACCCCCCCCCCACCCAGTGGGATGGGGGAGAAAATCAGGAAAAGAAGTAAAACTCATAGGTTGAGATAAGAACGGTTTAATAGAACTGAAAAGAAGAAACTAATAATGATAATGATAACACTAATAAAATTACAACAGCAATAATAAAAGGATTGGAATGTACAAATGATGAGCAGTGCAATTGCTTACCGCCTGCCAATCGACACCCAGTTAGTCTCCAAGCCTCGATCCCCCACCACCACTCCCCCAGTTCCTATATTAGATGTGGCATCACATCGTATGGAATACCCTGTTGGCCAGTTTGGGTCAGCTGCCCTGGCTCTGTCCTGTGCCCCTCCAGCCTTCTTGCTGGCTGGGCAGGAGAAGATGAAAAATCCTTGACTTTAGACTAAACACTACTTAGCAACAACTGAAAACATCAGTGTTATCAACATTCTTTGCATACTAACTCAAAACATAGCACCATACCAGCTACTAAGAAGACAACTCTATCCCAGCTGAAACCAGGACAGCCAGTCTCAGGATCTGTGGATTACACCAGGTATCTCCTGCTACAGTGTGTGCTGGGGCCCAGCAAATAAAGGTTCACCTGCTCCTGCAAGACAACTTTCCCAGAGCCTGGAAAGCAAACACAGATCTTCTCAGACACAGCATAGAACAGGAGATTTGACTGCCAGTAAAGAGAGCTAACACAAGGTCTTGTATTTCTACACAGAGGTAACTCAGGCCAGTCTTAAATGCGTATTTTAACCACGTGAGGCATAAACTGCAGTTTGTCCTGTGCA